GAGTTCCTCACGTGACCGCACTTGTGGGACCAATCTGCAATAATTTTCTTAAATTAATAAAAAATCGAGGCTTGTTAGCACCACCACGCCCTCCTCGGAAAAAATTCAATTGGTCATCTCGACTAATTTCGACGTTTTAAGTTCATCTGTATGGTCAAATTTTTTTAAGAAAAACAAAATTTTAAGGCCATATTATGGACATCAATAGATTTGTCCGAGAGTCAACATGGCAAAAAAATCATGCAAAATTTTTAGATTTTCAACCAAACTTTGAGAAATCACAACTTCTTCATTTCAGGGCCAAAATTAATGATCTTTATATCACTAGAAGGGTCTCAAGAAGATCTATTCGATCATACCAAAAGAGAAGCATGAAACACAGTGTAGAAGAGGTTATCATGTGATAAAATTTCGAATTTTACCGATTTTCATGTAAAAATTCAGATTTATATCTAAATTTCAAAGCATCGTCACTTCTTAGTTTTAAGTCCAAAATTTAAGTTCTTTATATGGTTGGAAAGTTTATTAAAATACCTTTCTAACCATACTAATGTTACTACATAATTATTAAAGAACAAAAAGTAGTAAATTATCAAAAGATGTCATTTCAGACCGCATAAGGTTTCACAACTTTACATACAATATTCATAATCCAGTTGTATCATATAATGTCATATTTAAGCATGTATTACAACAAGGAATTCAACATTATGGCTCTAATACCAATGAAGTAATTTACAACATTTAATATGAATTTTGGGTTAAGATGCTTACTTGAAATAATGAATTCCAAGATCTTTTGAATGGTTGAATCACTTTTCTTTCCAAAACTTCAAATCTACAATTTTCTTGCACTCCAATGATCCAAATTCCTATCACAACGAAAGGGGATTATTAGCCACAACCAAAGTGCCAATTTTTGTTAGTTTTCATGCCAAAATAGTGGTTCTAGGTGCATTTTAATCTTGGTGATATTTTCCATACGAATTTTCACCTATTTTCTATCATCTTTTTCTCTCTCTTCTAAGTTCAAGACAAAATTATGGGAGTTATGTAAAAACTTGAAAGTTGGTAGGAGTTGAGAGAAGTTATGAGTTTGAATTCTATTCAAACCACTCCCTCCAATTCACTTAAATAACTTGTAAGTTGGGTCACCCCACATGCGTGACCTATGACCCATATTTCTAAAAGTATGGATGGGAATGGGCTGCATAAACCTGCGATTT